GAAATACAAACATTTGTTTGAGGGGAATTTAATGTTATGAATGAACTCTCTATGATTAAAATATTTTTGCATATAAATCCGTGTGAATTCAATTTACAGCGCTTCTGCTCTGAGTACAATGTTAGGTGCCCTGGACACAAAAGCAACTTAGGATACAAATGAAGTAATAGTAATGGTAATCTGTGTGGTTGTGATCTAGAGATCTAATGAAGTCAGAATATGCCCTTAACAAATCAAGGACTGGAGTTTAACTCTCCTGGGAAGGGACAAGTGGAGGATTCTTAACAAATCAGCATTTGTCTGTACCCATGTTTTGATTTTGGTTCAGATGGCGTGGTCTTTAATAAAGCTGTAGTGTAGGTAAGGGAATGTTTTCACATGCAAAATCTCATTGGATTCTTACAGTGTTCCTACGAAATAGGTAGGACAGATAACTATTTTCCACTTTACAGACAGAAAATGAGTTCAGCAACAGTATGCTGCTAGGGGTCATAGCGAAAGGATGGCAAAATTAGAAGCCGAACGAGCTTCTCTTGTCTGTGATGAAGGATTCCCAAAGCATGACCAAAGTCGCCCTTCCACCCTCACCTTCAAGCTCCCTGAGCCCAGCTGCCACCTCCAGACTGCAGGGCTGGTGTGCTTATACTTTAAACCCTTCCCAGCTCCTCTTCCCTCTAATTTTAGCCAGACATGGTTAGAGAAATTCATGGGTACATTTACTTTAAAAAATAAGGGAAGATAAAAACAAAAGTGTGAAAACAATGAACTTGTTTAGTGTAGGTTTTGGCTCACAGGTTGGTTTGCCAGGCAGGATACATGGACTTGGCCCAGAGACCCTCTCCTTTATCTCCTCCCTGTCCAAGAAGGAAACTTGCCTGTCCTTGGGCAATTCTCTTAACTACTCTGTGTCCTTCTGCTCTTCCCCTGGAAGAGGGGTTAAACTGAATTTCCAGCCTCTATGTTACCAGAGCAATCCATAAAAAGAAGAAATTATTACACTCTTCAGTTGTGTATCACATCACCAACCCTTGTCCATATGTATCTGACAGCTTTCATCCCTTCCTGAAAAAGATAAGGGGGTCACATTCCAAAAACATTCTTTGGGAATCCTACAATCACCTATTTCAATGACGAAAGGAATTCTCGGAACGGGGAATATGCAACATTTGAGCCTGTCAGTTAAGTGGCACCTTCTCCCATATTTTCATTTTTTTAAAAAAATTTTTTTAAAGATTTTATTTATTTGAGAGAGAGATAGTGAGAGAGAGCAGAGCAGGAAGGAGGGGCAGAGAGAGAAGCAGGCTCCCCGCTGAGCGGGGAGCCCAAGGCAGAGCTTGATCCCGGCACTCCAGGATCATGACCTGAGCTGAAGGCAGATGCTTAACCAACTGAGCCACCCAGGTGTCCCTCTACTTAAAAAATATTAATAGTTGGCATTGATGGAGTACTTACCATGTGCTAGGAGCTATATATGCTATGTTTTACATGCTTTACATACATGAGTTTATTGAATCCTTACCATAGCCCTGGGAAGTGGGTACTCTCATCAAGCCCCTTTTATAGGTAAGAAAATTGAAGCACAAATTGGTCAAATGGTTTGCCAGAGATTATAGGACTAAATGGTGAAACCAGGACACACACACACACACAGACTTCAAGACCCATGCTTTGAATAATTAACTTCCTCACAGTGATGCTATAAGGGTTAAGTGAGCTGATGTAAATCAGGTCCCCCGTGGAGGTGCTTGGCACATAAAAAAGCCTCAAGTAAATGTTAGCTGTATTATTTTCAGCATTGTCATTTGTTCCCAGAAATGTCTGGGCCAGAAAACAGGTTTTTTTTTTTTTTAAAGATTTTATTTATTTATTCATGAGAGACAGAGGGAGAGAGAGAGGGAGAGAGAGAGAGAAGCAGAGGGAGAAGCAGGCTCCCAAGGAGCAGGGAGCCTAATGCGGGACTCGATCCCAAGACCCTGGGATCATGACCTGAGCCGAAGGCAGACGCTTAACCATCTGAGCCACCCAGGCGCCCCAGAAAACAGGTTGTGACATAGGATATTGTGGGGCTATTCTAGATGACTGCCAGAGATACGTGTCTTGCAAATGTCAGACATCTACTATTACCTAAACAATTTTTGTATTATGAGTTACCTGGTTAAGAGATGGGATAAATGGTTAGCAACTTTATCTATTTGCCTATGCAGAAAAGTTCTTCATGCTGGAGAAGTATGAAGTCTCAAAAGAATGGCATGCTGAGCAATAGCTAGCTGAATTGCAGGCAGTACCCAGATTATAAATGGATTATGTTTCAAAAGTTCACTTGTCTATTGTTATAAATTCTGAATGCATAGAAACAAGGTTGCAAATGGTGGTTACATGCCAAGACTATTCACAGAAGTCTATTCAGCCCATTTTATTTATTTTTTAAAGATTTTATTTATTTATTTGACAGAGAGGAAGACAGTGAGAGAGGGAACACAAGCAGGGGGAGTGGGAGAGGGAGAAGCAGGCTTCCTGCCAAGTAGGAGCCCTATGTGGGGCTCGATCCCAGGGTCCTGGGATCAGGGTCTGAGCCAAAGGCAGACACTTAATGACTGAGCCACCTAGGTGCCCCTATTCGGCCCATTTTAAAGTTCAACGATAGAAATCATGCCACTAGCCCAAGGACAGGCCTAGGAACAAGGGCCCATGTGATAAAATAAAAACTGTATTTCCTGGTACAGAGGCAAGTTGAGATTGAGTGTATTAGTTATCTATTGCTTTGTAACAAATTATCCCCAAACTTACCATATTAAAACAATAAACATTATTATCTCACAGTCTCTGTGCGTCATCTGGGAGCAGCTTAGTTGGGTGGTTCTTTTCAGGATCTCTCCTGGGATTTCAGTCAACATCTCCTCGGCTACAATCATCTGAAGGTTTAACTGGGGCTGGAGCATCTGTTTCCAATATGGCTCATTCACATGGCTATTGGCAAGAGGTGTCCATTTCTTATCACATGGGCTTTTCTTTGGGGCTGTTTGAGTTCCTCATGACATGGTAACTCTGGCTTCCTCAGCACAAGTGATCCAAGAGAGAACAAGCAGGCAGCTGCAGTGCCTTTTATGACCTAGTCTTTTAAGTCATACACTGTCACTATTGTCATATTCTATTCATTGTAGGCCATATGGTATTCATCAAGAGAAGCTCACATTTAATGGGAGGGAGATTAAGCTCTACCTCTGCATGCGATGAGTATCAGAATTTGTGGACATACATTAAAATCACTATATAGTTTTTTGTTATCCTCCTAGCACTCTGTCCAGATACCCAGCGATATAAAATAGTAAAAATAAATTGGGATGCCAGAACTGCAGCCCTTCCCAACAAAGCTTACTGTAAGTACCCCAAATAATCCATGTTCTGCCTCAACTTTTCTTGAGAACATCTACCCCCTTTCCTTGAATGGAATCTTATTTGAAGAATTTATACCAAAGAAAGAACAATCACATTCCTGACATATTTGCTTTGTTCATTTGTATTTCTCATTAGCAGAATTTCAGGCAATATAACAAACTGAAATGAAAAACAACAAATAACTTACTCCTGAGTTGAATGGATTAAGATATTTGGGGTTAGGAGAGCAAGGCTCAGTAAGCACTCTGCCTTCAGCTGATAATGACCTGAGTGCTCTGGTTATTGAATATTCTAGGCAAGTCTGCCCTCCTCAGTCTTGGGAACCATGGGATCTCTGATCCACGTTTCCTAACCTGACTCCCATGGCGGCAGCTCTGTAGGAATATGGTGCACATTCAAAAGTGAGGGATTGCTGGGGAATCCAAAAGCAATTGGTGCTCTGGCACCTGAGGCATGCAAAATTCTAAAGTGCCATCTGAATCTTCAGAGGAAAATGATGCTCCATGTGACTTTTTATTGTATATTTTGTGACTTGAAATTTGGTATCATCAAAATACAACATCCATTAACACAGGATAACTAGGAGTTTCACTACAGTTCAACTCCAAGTGTTAGCTCCCCTGACAGTGCTGCTGTTTTAAATCTTAAAATTTGAGTCTTAAACCCTTTTGAGAATATGATAAAAGCTAAGGGACTTAACTCAAGAAAATACATATAAGCCACAGTATTTTGCACATGAGTTTAAGGCCTCCAGAAGCCCCTAAAACCCATCCAAGGAATCTGGATTAAGAATCTCTTAAGACTTCAAGGGAGAAGGGGAATGGGGAGGCTTATTGCCATTCCATTTTACCACTACAACTTAGATCTAAATCAGAAACTACTATTCAGAACTTAATTATTTTAAATTTGGTTAACAGAACCAAAGGCCCAAACGGAAACCCCTACTAGATTTTGTGCTTGGGTTTAGTCCATGTTATAAATGGAGGCAACAGGAACATGGCAGCGAACACACACAGGACAACACATATTTGATGAAAAGCAATAGTAAATCCAAAGCAGGACTTAGAACTGCTGACGACCATAAGCCTCGCCCTCTCGAAGTTGACCTGACGGTGCATCAAATTTTGCCAACTTGCCAGAGAAGCAGCAACTCGAGGAAAGAAAGCTGCTGGGTTTCTCACTTAGCAAGAAAGCGCTAAAATGGTTTTCTGCCGCGGATCTGTAACCAAGATGCTGACCCAAGATTCCTGAGGCCCTCGTTGGGTGGAGCGAGCTCGGGCAGCAACGCCCGGGGCGGGCGGGACCGTTCGAATCTACCCACTTAGTCCGCAGGCCCCGGCTCCATCCGCTCATGCCTCTCCGCCTGGGGAGGTGGCAGGGCTGCGCCGGAGACGCGGGCATCCCTGTGAGCGCCCCTCGGCCAGAGGTAGGCGCGCCGGGCTCCGCAGCCGAGACTGGGGCGACGGGCGGGGGATGCGGCGCGCGCCCCTGCCCCGCCCCTCGCGGGAGCCGCAGCCCTGCGCAGCGGGCCTGCGTGTGCTCGTGCTGACCCCTCCTTCGCGCTCCTGGCCTGCGGCCGCTCCGGCGCACGCGCGCAGCCTCGCGCAGGGCGGGGAGAGACGGCGGCCCCCGGCGCCCGGCCCCGAACCTGTCAGACTAGGGGAGCCGGCCTGGAGCTGCGGGCGCGGCAGGGGCGAGGACTGCCCCACTCCCCGCGCTGCCCCGGCCCGAGCTGTGCGAGTCGGCCCCGCCGAGCCGGCCGGGGGCGGGGAGATGAGCGGCGGCCCCGCGGCAGCGCCCCAGGTAGACGCGCCGCCCCTTCGCGGAGCCCGGGCGCCTCCGGGCCGGCCTGGCGCCCCCGCGGCCCGGGGCTTCGGAACTTGTGGGCAGTGTTGGGGCGCCTTTAATTTATAACGTGTTAACGTGTTTCGTTTTCCACAGGATGGGGAGGGACGCGCGGCGGTGCCATCGGGAACTGGCGCTCCGGTGAAGTAGGAGCCGCCGGCCGGCCGCCTGCACCGAGCCTTCCCGTGCCGCGGCGGCTCAGCCTCTGCCATGGCCGGATCCGGCGCGTGGAAGCGCCTCAAATCTCTGCTAAGGAAGGATGATGCGCCGCTGTTTTTAAATGACACCAGCGCCTTTGACTTCTCGGACGAGGTGGGGGACGAGGGGCTTTCTCGGTTTAACAAACTTCGAGTTGTGGTGGCCGATGATGGTTCTGAAATCCCAGAAAGGCCTATTAACGGGGCGCACCCGGCCCTGCAGGCCGACGACGATTCCTTGCTGGACCAGGACTTAGCTTTGACCAACAGTCAGCTGAGTTTGAAGGTGGACCCCTGTGACAACTGCAGCAGACAGCGAGAGTTACTGAAGCAGAGAAAGGTGAAAACCAGATTGACCATTGCTGCCGTTCTTTACTTGCTTTTCATGATTGGAGAACTTGTAGGTGAGTTGTGTTGCCAACTCACTTTCCATTTACCTTGTCCCGAGGGTGATTGTCAAGCTTTAGTTACACATGATTTGAGGTTTAAACTTTCTTTTCAGGAAGTTTGTTATTTATCAAGATACTGATCTCGTGATAGGAAAAGTCCACACGGTTCCAAAGTGCAGATCAACCCAAGTACGACATAAACTTTCAGAGATAACTGACTTTTTCTTCTCTTCTCCAAACACTGTGACACCTACTGTAAAGTTAAGTACATTAGCTTCATCGTATATCATGTAACTTCCTCTTTAAAAAATTCTGATAAAACACCAGGTTAGTTTTTGCATCATTTAAAATAGTAAGTGATCTAAACGTAGAATCATAAAATTTTACAGTATGAAATGACCTACTGAACACCTGCTCTTCTTTTTCACACATAAGGAATCTGAGGGCCCCGAGAGTGAAACAAGTTGTGAGGACACTTGGCTGGTTAGTGGAAGAGGCACGTCTACAGTCCCAGGCTCCTTACTTTTTTCTCTACATTTGACCTAAGCGGTCTCTTCTTTGTTAGTATTTCCTTTTGTATTTATATCCAAGAGATTTGCAAAATTAAATACTACCAACTGACGTTTAAAGTTTTTCATTATACTAAGGATCTGAAAGGAACCAGAGGGCTCCCCCAGGGTTTATGAACTTGGTTTTTTCGCATTTTATAGTATTTTTTTTTTAAGATTTATTTATTTGCCAGAGAGAGCACAAGCTGGGGGAGGGGCAGAGGCAGGGAGAGAAGCAGGCTCACCGATGAGCAAGGAGCCGGATGCAGGACTCATCCCAGGACCCTGAGATCATGACCCAAACGGAAGGCAGACGTTTAACGGACTGAGCCACCCAGGCGTCCCGTTTTTTCACTTTTTGATAATTCAAGTAATACATTCTCACTATATATTCTTAGAGATTAATTTCACAGTCACATTAGTGTAACTGCTAACTTCTCTTAGTGACAGTTTACAAAGTGACATTAAAGCAGGGAGATAAATCTGCCATGTTGTTTCTTAATGATTAACCATTAAGAGAACAGGTGGCGGTCCAGATTAAGATGCTGGCCAGAGGTTATATATAGGAAAATTATATACATTTCATACCTCATTTTATACCTCTTCTCCCCAGTGCACACTTCAGCCATGCTGGCCGTCTTTCTTCCTATGTCTCACAAAGCTCCTTCCTGTCCATAAGGCCTTCAAAGCCACCTCAGTGGCTTTCAAACTTTCTTGATCTCACTATATTAAAAACTACACTTAACATTGTGACCTGGGTAGGCATGCATGCATACATATGTAAAGTACACACACACACACATATATGTGTAAATATATGTATAACTGAAACAAAAGTCTCATTTCTTGAGATGTGTTCTAGTATTTTTTTTTTCTGTTATGGCCCCAGCCCACTTAATTGATTTCGTGTTCCACAGATCAGGGCCTGCAGTTGAAAAACACTGCTTAACCTGGAGTGCCTTTTCCCCAATCTTCTCTTGGCTGGTTTCTTGACATTCGTATCTTACCCCAAAAGATAACTCTGAGAGACCTTTTCTGACTGACTAAATATCTCATCTCCCCTGTTCTCTCCCTAACTTTAAAAGCCCTCAGCATCTTGAGATTATCTTGTTTGTATATTCACTTGTTTAATATCTGTCGTCTTCCACTGAAATACAAGCTGCATTCCCAGAATCTACAACAGTGACTGGTATAGAATAGACATTCAATAAACTTCTGTTGAATTAATTTTTATTGTGATAGAGAATTATAAATGCTTAAGCTGTAAAGAAAGTAAAAGTGAAGTTGTGTCCAGGTAAGAAGGCATGGCCTCTACAGACTAAGATTCAGTGACTTGCCCAAATTCACACAGCTAGAATATCGAGTCAGTAAGACTTATTGTTTTTTTAAAGATTTATTTATTTATTTGACAGAGTGCGTGCTCATGCACACACGGGGGGAGCAGAGGGAGAGGAAGAAAAGCAAGACTCCCCACTGAGCAGGAAGCCCTACGCTTCCCAGCTCCATCCCAGGACCCTGGGATCATGACCTAAGCTGAAGGCAGATGCTTAACTGACTGAGCTACGCAGGCGCCCCAGACTTAGTAATTCTTGAAGTTAATATTTGTATTTGAAGTTAAAATCATATTAATCACAATTTTCCCCCTTAAAATTAGAGCTTATTTTACCTAAGTAAAAATTATTAAGATAAAATTGTCCTGACATACCATTTTTGAAACCTCTTATTTGATAAATGTTGTTTTGTGAAAGCCACAATAAGTATTTTTTTTAAAATACTGACTTTATTTTCAAAGATAAAAATCTTATGTTAAATAATACAAAAATACTAATACTTAGGATAAGCGTTAACAAATATTCAGGGGCGCTTGGGTGGCTCAGATGGTTAAGTGTCTGCCTTTGGTTCAGGTCATGATCCCAGGGTTCTGGGATCAAGTCCCGCATCGGGCTCCCTGCTCAGCGGGGAGCCTGCTTCTCCCTCTGCCTCTCTCTCTGTCTCTTATGAATAAATAAATAAAATCTTAAAAAAAATATATTCAGAATATTACATAGAATTGTATATAGTAGAGCATTTATTAAAGTGTATCAAAAGCACTTAGAGGGGCGCCTGGGTGGCTCAGTCGTTAAGCGTCTGCCTTTGGCTCAGGTCATGATCCCAGGGTCCTGGGATCGAGCCCCGCATCGGGCTCCCTGCTCCGCGGGAAGCCTGCTTCTCCCTCTCCCACTGCCACTGCTTGTGTTCCCTCTCTCACTGTGTCTCTCTCTGTCAAATAAATAAAATCTTTAAAAAAAAAAAAAGCACTTAGAAATAAGGCGTCTTATATAGAAAGTATGGAGTAATTTAAAAAATGAAGTAATTTAAAGATCTGAAAGAGAAGACTTGATTTTGAATCTTGGCTTTGCCACTAACTTGCTTTGAAACTTTAGATCATTCAGCAAGCATTTTTTGAGTACTTTTACAGAACCTACTATCTGGGATGCCTGGGTGGCTCAGTTGGTTAAGCGACTGCCTTCGGCTCAGGTCATGATCCTGGAGTGCCAGGATCGAGTCCTGCATTGGGCTCCCTGCTCGGTGAGGAGTCTGCTTCTCCCTCTGACCCTCCCACCTCTCATGCTCTCTCTCTCTGTCTCATTCTCTCTCTCAAATAAATAAACTCTTTTAAAAAAAATAATAAAACCTACTATCTGAAGCAGTCTAATGGAGGACACAGATGTTAAACAAATAAATAAATTTAAAGTCCGTATGGCCTTAAGTGTTATGAAGCAAAAGAACAAGGTACTATAAGACACAGTAACCAGTGGGACATAGTTTATGTATGAGCCAGCTACAGTTAAACCAAAAAAAAAAAAAAAGAGTTATTCAAGCAAAAGGAGTGGAGGAGTTTTCCAAGTGAAGAGAACAGCATGTACAAAGGTCCTAAAAACCTTCAATTCTTTAAAAGGACCGAAAAAGAAGGCAAGTTTCACTGGAATATAATAAGAAAGAGGCCAGAGGACCAGATCAGGCCGGTTCTGATAGACCATATTATGAGTGTAGTTTTTAATTCTAAGTACAATGAAAAACCAGTCAGGGCTTTTAAGCGGAGAGTGATATGATGGGATTTATGTTTTTAAAAGATTATTCTGGCCCTTATGTGGAGATGGATTGGAGGGTGCAAGAATGGAAGCAAGTAAACTATTGCAGAGGTCCAGAAAAGAAACAATTATGGCTTGGACTGGTGTGGAGGGAGATTGAGAAATATTCTAGAGGTAACATTAACAAAATTGACTAATGGTTTAGATGTGGGGGTTGATTCTGAAGTTTCTCACCTAAACAACTGAGTGTATGGAATTGTATGTCTTTTATTAGGGAGAAAATACAGAGCAGGATTTAGGCATGGGCTCAAGGGTTGTTTTAGACAGTGTTCATTATCACATGTATGTAAAATAGCCAGTAAAGATGTCTAGTGAGCTGTTAGATGTGAGTCCATAGTTCAGAAGAGAGGTGAAGTTAAGAGATACAGTGTGTAGTGCTATCAGAATGGAAAAAACCACCTACAGAGTCTGTTTTGAGGAACTCAACTTTAGACGTCAGGCAAAAGACAAACAGGTATTTCAGAATCTAAGAAAATAGAGTATTTCCAAGTGGAAATAAATAAGTTAAAGCTGCTGAGAGGTCTAATGAGATGAGAACTAAACTATCCTTTGGATTTAGTAATAGTCATTGATTAACAACTGCATTTTTATTGGGAGTGAAAAAGCTTGAAGAATGAATGCAGACTTCCCAGTAAAGATGGCAAATGAATTCATGTATCTAAATGTACTTTCTCCTGAAGCCTCTCAAACTAAAATAAAGGGATTTTTAAATGTATATATATGTATATAGCCATATATCCATCCACATGTGGGTCTGTGTGTGTGTGTGTGTGTGTGTGTCCACATAGATGGGGAAAACTGGAGACAAGATAATAACAACATAACTTTGGGAAACTAGAAAGGAGATAGATAAAAGAAATAACTGACTTAATAGACCCAAGAAAGCCACCTCCTATGCAGCAGTTGGGGAAAGCCAAGAATCAACCCAGTTTACATTAATTCATCAGAAACACCTAGAGAATTTATTAAAACACAAATTGCTGGGTGAGAGCTTCTAATTAAGTAGGTCTGGGATAGGGCCTGAGAATTTGCATTTCTTACAAGTTCACAGGAGATCCTGATACTGGGGACCATACTGAGAACTACTGTTCTTCAGAATCCTAAGTAGGCCCAGAATTGGTTGCACCTGGTACCCCTAGAAGTGTGGGTCAAGAGGAAGACTAAAATAAGGAAACTAGTTAAACAGACATAGTTAGTATCCACAGAAATAAGAGATATGTACCTACAAGAATAGACTGCTTTAAAAAAGAAATTCAAGGTAAAGAGCTTTTGAACAATAAAAACAAAAAAATTTTGAACTCCATAAAAAAGTTACAAGATGAACTAAGATATCTCAGAGTAGAGCAAAAAGATAGAAATAGATAAGAGGAGGAAAAACCATAAGAAAATTAGTGTATCAATCCAAACTCCAAATAATAGGAATTTGGGGAACAGAGAAAACAGAAGAAACTGTCAACAATATAGTTTAAGAAATTTGCCCAGAATTGAAGTGTATACCTTTCCAGATAAAAAGAGTCAACAAAAACCTAGCAAATTGGGTGAAAATAAACCGATACCAAGGTATATGATTGTGAAATTTCAGAATACAGGGAGCACATTGTTACCTATTGCTTCAGGCAGCTGCAGTATTAAACAATTCCCTTGGATTGTTTTTTGACAAACATTCCTTAGGGTTTGCCTAAGGCAGATCCTAAGTCAAGTCAAAACAGCCTTGCTACTGTGCTTTTTCCCAGGGAACTACCAGGCGGATCAAATAATGATAGTTCTTTGGGAATGGGGCTTGTAAGTATCTCTAACCCCATTTTATCTCTTGCAGTGGCTGCCAGGCTGTTTTTTTTCCTTTCTTTTTTTTTTTTTTTAAAGATTTTATTTATTTGAGAGAGAAAGAATGAGAGAGAAAGAGCACATGAGAGGGGGGAGGGTCAGAGGGAGAAGCAGACTCCCTGCAGAGCAGGGAGCCTGATGCGGGACTCCATCCCACGACTCCAGGATCATGACCTGAGCTGAAGGCAGTCACTTAACCAACTGAGCCACCCAGGTGCCCCCAGGCTGGTTTTCACTGCGATTGTTGCCTGTTGGTTTTCAGGGCTGCCATAGAACGGGAGAGAGAGAGATGGGTCCAAGGCTACAGAATTTTCGATGTTCTTATAAAGATTCAGTTGTTTTCCTTGAATGAATACTACCTGTATCAGTCTTTGGTTAATTTCCAGAGTTCTAAAAAAAAGCTGATTTGGACCATTTTTGCCCATGTTCACATTACTTTCATAGAGGAGATTATTTTCAGAGGTCCTTACTCTATTTTTTTAATTTTTTTTTTTAAAGATTTATTTATTTCAGAGAGCGAGAATGAGAGAGAAGAGAGTACATGAGAGGGGGGAGGTTCAGAGGGAGAAGCAGGCTCCTCGCCGAGCAGGGAGCCCGATGCAGGACTCGATCCCGGGACTCCAGGATCATGACCTGAGCCGAAGGCAGTCGCTTAACCAACTGAGCCACCCAGGCGCCCCTTACTCTATTTTTTTTGCTGATGATTATCAACACATGGCTCTTTAAGTTTAGGTTAACTAATATTAAATAAATCCCTCAGTTGCATTATCCATATTTCAAATGCTCAAAAGCTACATGTGACTAGTAGCTACTCTACTGGACAGCACAGATAGAACATTTCCATCATCTCAGAGCCTTACTGGACAGTACAGCTTTAAGGTATTACCCTTATAGATAAGGAAACTGAGGCTCAAAAGTATTAAGTAACTTGCTGAGAGAGTCTCAGAGAGTCCAAAACCCTCTTAGCCACCAACTTGTATTTTTCTCAGTGATTTCCAGCTCTTTAATGTCAAGGGAATATTAAAAGTGGTATTTGTATAGACCACACTGGAGTAAATGGATGTGATTACAAGATCACCAGCTCAGTCGCCTGCTGCTCTTGGCTCTGCACACTCATCCCAGAAAGAGGGGAACAACGGCTCAGCACACTTATATGTCATAACACCCTGATCATGAAGTTCATTTTAACAGTGATTCTCAAAGATACCAAGACTAGAAGTATTAACATCACCTTGGGAACATGTTAAAAATGGAAATTCTCAGGCCTCATCCAGCCCTCTGGAATTAGAAATTCTGGGAGTGGAGCAAGCAATCTGTAGTTTAACAAATCTTCCAGGTGATTCTGATACACATAAAGGTTTGAATGTTGTGTATAAAAAGCTTATTCAATGAATGGCGCTAGGACAATTGGTTAACCATAATAGAACAACATACATATATACACACACGTATACAAAATTAATTTTATATATCACATATACATAGAATGCCTGGAAAAATTTTATTCTAAATACCACCTTTAATCTCTCTGAGACACTGTTACCTATATCCAAGGGAATCAGTTATCTGTATCCTTCATTTTGAACTAATGTACATTTAAAAAATTTCTTCAGTTTAATTTTGTGGTCAAACCCTCTCAAACAAGTGAGTATCTATCTTCAGCTTTCTTGTAATATTTAGATACTGTGGTTATTAATTTCACTAATAGTAGGATTAGTAGGTTGAGTAAAAGCTGCAGTGCTAAAACACAAAATTTCTATGTGTTAGAGCCCAGTTTAGTGGTTCTTAATTTTTTTTTTTTAAGATTTTATTTATTTGAGAGAGAGAGAGCATGAGCTCAAGCAGGGGAAGCAGCAGGGAGCCCAACAGCAGGGCTGGATCCCAGGACCCTGAGATCATGACCTGAGCCAAAGGCAGACGCTTAGCCAACTGAGCCACCCAGGCGCCCCAGTTCTTAATGTTTTTAAGGTCACTGACTCCTCAGAGAATCTGTCCATAGAAATGGACATTTTCACCACAAAAATACACACATATTTAATGTTTTGCATAAAATTTCAGGATATCTTGATTTAATTATAATAGGATAAAGATTTAGTTCAGATTTGATGTTTTGTAGGATGTTACATATTTTTGGTTTGCTTATGTTTATTATTTTAATTAACTTATTCCTTCTTCCCTCTCACCCTTACTCCAAGGTGGATACATTGCAAACAGCCTCGCAATCATGACAGATGCACTTCATATGTTAACTGACCTAAGCGCTATCATACTGACCCTGCTTGCTTTGTGGCTATCTTCAAAATCACCAACCAAAAGATTCACCTTTGGATTCCATCGCTTAGGTAGGTAATTGGTAATTTCTTTTGGTTTATAAAATTTCATAGTAAAACCACAATGAACTATAACTAACCTCTGAGTAACTGAAATCTTTCTGGTGATAACCTATTTGAATAAAGCAAATGGAAATAGATGAACAAGATTTATTCAGATACATATAGTCCAGGATACATTCAGCCTAGTCATCTATAAACAGTTTACACCTATAAAATTATATGGTAATCATTAATCTTTAAATGTTGTTCCCTATTTCCTGAAGATGTTATCAGAAAAAAGTTTACCTTCAGTTTATTCAACCAGGCAAACCACATGAGTTTATGCTAATGGGTATTAGCTTCTTTCTCAGACTTCAGGTATTCCAGCCAAAGCTGCTTAGCCCAGATCTTAAGCAATACAGTAATATGTTTCACATATACTGTGTGGCTGACCTTTGTTGCTGCCATTGTATCATCATAATCCTGTAAATGCTGATAAAGATTCTTTGCTTGACCAAATTTTAGTCAGTCTCCTGAACCTTCCCCCAAGCCCATCTGTGTACTTCCTTATAAAATTCTGTTTTAGCAAGAACCCTGCTAAGCCAGTTTAATAGAACCCCCCCACTCAGTATCTGATGGGTTATCCCCTAGGTGATGTCTCATTGCACTGGCCTGTCTCTAGCAAAAATTCTCTTAAGTCAGTTTAGCCAGAATCTCCCTCACCCCTGATGTTTCCTCTTAGGAATTTTCCATTCACTGACTCCCACACTGCTCCTTGGCTGTAAATTCCCACTTGCCCATACAGTATTCAGAGCTGAACCCAATCTCTACCCCCCACCCCACCCGATGCAGAGTTCTATTGCAGTGGTCCTCTACCTTTCTTGGTAGCTTCCCCCCTTGAATAAAGTCTTCTTTAGCATGTGTTGACAAGTGTCATTAAGTTTTTTTCTTTAACAGTATACATATATTTATTTTCCTATTTTGAACAAATATTTGAGAGGTTAAAATCATACATTGTTATCCATACAACTCTTTCTGTGTTACTGTGTTTTTAGATTTTTTTACTTATTTTAAAAATATGTATAAAACAATTATGTGAACTAGTATGTGAAATGCCATATGTCCAGATGTCATTTGCTTAGAATCCAGAAGCTGACATGTAGGTAGCTGTAGCAAAACCTGTCTTAACAGAATTAACAACTTGCAGTTTAATTTTGTAGAGACACTGACCTTCTTGGCTAATATATTAGTCAGTTCTTCCCCTTCTTGGTTACTTTTTAGCTTCATCTTAACTCAGCATCTAGGTCTTCTAAAATTTAGTCACTGGGCCTTCTATGTAAAACTCCATTGTACCTGAAAGGCTATATCTCAAATAGCTATCCAGATCATTGGGTTGGGAAATCTCCGGCACCCCCACCCCTCAGCACTGTCCTCTGCTTGCTATACCAGAGAGCTAATGCCCTGAGGTGTGTCTGTGATTTGTTACCCACTGCGCAGTGCACCCACTGCTTATCAACATATTATACAGTCATTTGTTACCTGATTGCCTTGGACTTTTTAAACAACTTCAAGATGATTTTCAAACTTTTTAATTTCTTGTGATTTAAACACCTTCAATTTAAGATCTAACATTCAAACACAGCATTATGGAATGGGGTTTTTTACCTTCTACCACTGTTTGAAAGAGTGCATTTTATCCTGCGGCTCTTAACCTTTTAGATTATAGACCCCTTGGAACGCTAATGAAAATAGTGGAATTCTCCTCTCAGAAACATGTAATAACAGAACATAGAAAGTCCTACATATAATAAGAACCCATAATCATGGAAATTCTATTAGATATCAAAGAAATACTTTACTCACTTCATTTCTTCATAGACAACAAGCACTGTGAAAAGGTGAGAGAGAATAGAACTGAATGTTCCTATTTATCTCAGCAAGTTTCTGTAGAAAGTCAAATATTCCTTTTTCCTTAAAAGTACAAAGTTCACAATTATGGACTAGATATAGCATTTGACTCCTCTCCCCTGAGAGTTCATTCAAATAAAAACAGCAGAGAGAAGCAAGTGATTGGGTCACCAGTACTTTACCACCTTACCTTATGTGTTTCTCATACATGTTCATATCCCATTCCCTGCCACCCTGTCTGATGCAGAAGGCAGCATACTGTATACCCAGTTCTAGACCTGGAAGTGTGTGTCTGTGGATACCATTCCTTAAATTTATTTCCTTTTTGTTTGCTTCTAACAGTTTATACATGCCTAATAGCGTTTGTTACATTTTTATTAGCTGTTTGTATGAAACTGTATCTTGTTCTAGACCATGAATGAAGTAGGGATGGAAACAGATAATATTAAACTCTGTGTGTCTGGCAGTAATAAGTGCAGTATACAAGATTATTAGCTGAATTGTTGCTTATTCAGGCTGAGTAAATAAGGACATGAAAACTGTGAAACAGATCATTTAATATAGCTCATGAACCTCCAATCACTTGTGTTTGGGGTAAATTAAACCAGTTTCCAAACTAGGAATAGGGATATTTTTGAAATTTGGGGACTAAAATATTTGGGACTTGAAAATATTTATCTGTAATTCTGAAACTGTGATTATATTCACAAACTACACTATAAAAAGTTATTTGATTCATAACATAACGGGATGGTACAGCCTGACTTCTCAGTCCCTTTAACTAAGAAATTAGTCAGAGGAGTTTCCCCCTGACGTCAGGCAGGAGCAGTCCATTTGGTACTTTCCACTTTTAGAGTTTTGTGAATAACTTGTCTTTGGTTCAGTTCAGAGATCTGCAATTTTACTAGCTATACGACCTTTTAGAGATGATTTAATCTACATACAAGGGTTTGTTTTTGTTTTTGTTTGTAAAATATGAATGATAACACTTGCATTGCAGAAAGGTAAAGAATACGTAAGGTGGTAAGGTCTAAGTACCTGACCTGGTAGATCTGGCCCAGAGTGCATTCCCAATAAAAGCTAGTTCCAATCTTCTTTTCCTTTCCTCTGCCTACCAGTATATCATCCTGCCCACACTTCTTATATCTCTCAAATGCTCCACACCCCCAAATTACTTGCCTTCCCTCCCTGCTAATCAGAATTCTCTGAGCATAACTGTCTCAGTTAGTTAGTAGGAGAAAAGTAAGGTGATTCACCCTGATGATTAAGCAGCAGTTTTTAGAGCTGTACTTTTTAACTCAGGTCTTTGGTAATTTTTTTTTTAAGATTTATTTATTCAGTCCAGAGAAACAACGGGGGAGGGGCAGAAGGAGAGGGAATCTCAAGCAGATTCCCCACTGAGTGTGGAGCCCCACATGGGGCTCGATCTCTTCACCTGAGCCAAAATCCAGAGCCGGACACAAGCAACTGAGCCACCCAGGTACCCCTTTGGTAACATTTTTGGCATTGTAACTAAACTTATTTTAGCAAAAATCATTTAGTGAGGGTGAGAGAAAGGTGTTTTTAGATTTGAGGGGAGGACCAAATAGCTGTCCCAGGAATCTGTTCTATTCTGGTGGTACATTTCTTTCCTTCATGTGAACTCACAGATTGTGTAAAGTCATTCAGGTTTTTCTTTTCTTTATTACTTTACAGTGAGCTACAGTGGCAGTTCTTATGTGGGAAAAGGGGGAGCAGGCTAGGAACCATATATGAGATATTTTTAAATGCCTGGATTCATTTGACTCTGGGTATGTCCTCTTATCCTGGAAGTTAATAAAACTTAGAACTTGGGGCGCCTGGGTGGCTCAGTTGGTTAAGCGACTGCCTTGGGCTTAGGTCATGATCCTGGAGTCCCGGGATCGAGTCCCACATCGGGCTCCCGGCCCAGCAGGGAGTCTGCTTCTCCCTCTGACCCTCTTCCCTCTCGTGCTCTCTATCTCTCATTCTCTCTCTCTCAAATAAATAAATAAAATCTTAAAAAAATAAAACAGAACTTAATGAAACACACTGTAGCAGAAATCCCACAGATCCTTAGGAAGAACAGCATTATCTCCCAAAGGGGAATTGCTATTCTCAAGAGAACAGTGCTATCCCCTTCCTTTCTACTTTTATCCTTCTCTGTGGATTATGAGCTTAATTGACTTTTATTTTAAGGCTTTTCTGCGAGTTCTTGGGCTGAAGAAGCTGCAAGGATTAGATTAAGATAGAGATTCTATCTTGTATCTTACCATGTAAAAGGACTTAGTAAGAGTTGTTTGTATTTGAAATAAAAAAGCAGGATTAACATTTTGGCAATGCAAATCATCGGCCTAGGTTAATGGCAAAGTGACAGTGCAGGAGTCTTGTAGCAGAGTGTAGTTCCACTCGGCAAAGACCTTGGCAGTTGTGGTTAGATGATGGTTCTACTACAGTAGATTTGTGATTTGTTACCCACTGCGCAGTGCTAATTCTCTGTCGTTTGCTGTTTCATTCCCTGATGCTAAAGGAGCAGAAAGTATTCAGCTAAAAAATCTCTTTCCCTATACATGCAGCCAAAAAAACAAAATCTCTTCTCCCTGGTTAGTGATTCATTTTAACAACGTCCTCCCACCCCTGACGAGGGCTATGCCAATTAATGATTCACATCTTAGCGAGAATGCATATCACCTGAACATGTGGAAAAGAATAGGTATCTCCTAGAAATAGGAGTTTTTGCTGAGGCAGAAGGAAGACGTGAGTGAGGTGGTCCATGTTGGGCCAAAAGTCAGTTTGAGAGTGCTGGGCACCTTGGGTATGGGGTAGAGGGAGTGGTGAGAAGGCAGGAAATAGATTATTTAGAATAGGAACTGAAAGGATCCAAAGACTGCTTTGCAGTTTAGCCTGGTATTCCAGCGGCAACAGTAGGCCACTGAAAAATGCTATGTGATGTCTTTAGCCTGAGTGCAGTAGGGTTGTCTGTGGTTTGAGTTGAAATACAAATACAAATTTGGAAATCCTAGGCAAATCCAGCACAGCCCATTGATTTTCCTTCTCTTTCCTTCCTGTCTTTTACTGAAGAAGGTAAAAAAGAGAAATAACATAAAAGGAAGTACAGGAGAGAA